ATATATATATATATCATGGACAAAATAAAAAGTTTCCTTTTCAAGTTCCATGGTTTATCATGGAATTTTACCAAACCTAAAAGGTGGGAACTTCAACATCAAAGGAGAGTTCTCAAATTATCTTCCACTATTTATCAAATAACATGAACAGTAATAGGTAAAGTTCCTTCCTCATCTTCTAACCTCATGTTATCAAACATACTCTTAGAGAATGTTATGGAAACTTTAACTGTGGTCATCTTCTACCAATCTCCGTGAATGAAGTCTTGGACTACATTCTCACCAAAGGAAAACGGACGGTAGGGGTCCAAATCCCCACGGATATACCCGAAAAAGAAAGAAAAATATACCAATAACAAGGTTGAAACTTGAAACCATACATGGTCACATTTCTTCCATTTTTGTTTTATCAGATATCTTTGTAGAAAAATTTAGAAAATATAAAAGCAATTGCCAATTACATTATATCCGTAATCTGAGTACTTGTAAGATAAGCCAATATTAAATTCTCATATCTACTCCACTGTCATGCATAAAAAAAAGTGATTCGATTTTATAAAATAATGAAATGAAAAAAAAATAATAATCATGTTTTGTGAGCTAATGATAATTTTTCAGTCACATAAATCTAGATATTTATATATACCAACCTTTTTACACAAAATAAATAAAAAAATCTCAAAAACGTTAAAAAACCAACCCAATGAATAAAAATATGAAACCCAAATAAACTAATAAAAGAAAGGTGCAGTTTGTACGTGTAGAGGTACGGTGCACCTTCAAATTTTATCATGGTATATAATTTTGATGTAAAATGTTTTTAAGATTATCTCAAAATCTATTTTTATATCTAATTATAAAATTTTAAATTTCAAAAATAGTCAAAATCAAGTAGATCTATAAACATATGAAAACTTTGAAAATGGACAATGTAGATAATATGTTGTAAAATGTACTATTTATGAGACTTAAAATCTTTTTATTTTTCATTGTCATACATCTCGATTTCGAGATGAACAATCAAAGGGTTTTTCAACATTAAAACTACCTTTTTCGATAAATTTTTTAGGGGCATCCGTAGTTCTACGTTATAAAGTAGCATCTTTATATAGACTTTTTCTATAAAAAAAACAAGAGTTCCATATATTGCCATATTTTCCGAATCAACAATAAATATTACTTCCTCAAACATCAATACGATAAAAACCTCAATGATTGTAATCCGATGGAATGACAATAGTTACACTACTTAAAACCCAACATTTGATTAAAACTAATTAATAACTCGTAAAAAAAAGGACTCTAACTTTAGAGAGAGAGTTACAAAAAGACTGGGCCATTCAAGGACCCTCGTAACCAAAGTGGTCTTCCCAACCCTGTGAAGTCAGAGAAAACGGCATGACATAAATAAATAATAAGACATAATTATTGGGGGATCCATTTGAAAGGGAGCCAGGAGAGGGAAAGCTTTTGGTGTCGATGAGAGATGAGAGAGAGAGGGAGAGAGACAAGGTTTTGCAGAACAGGGGATGGGTTTGGACCAGCGTTTAAAAGATCGGCCGCTGACTCGGGATTTGGCCGATCCCTATGCAAGAAATTTCTTTCGGTGTATCGGCCGACTAATGGGACTAATCGGCACTAATCAGCCAATTAGGGCATTTATAGGCGATATATTCTAGAAATCGACCAATAAGTGCACTATTATAGTACAAGAGTTTGCATAGTTGTCCTTATAACATTTCATATATATATATATATATATATATATATTTTTTTAGCCTTTTTTCCTATATTCTTCTATGGACAGTTTCTATGCAGCTAGCCCACATATTATAGAAATACGGGCTTGGCAATAAATATATTTTTTAAATATAATTTGATCCTTATATTTGGAGAACGTATAATCTTTAACATGGAGATCATGAATATAAAAAAATAATAAT